ACGGATTACCAAGATTTTTTCTTATATATTATATTATATATATATATATATATATATATATATATATATATATATATATATAGGGCCGGTTAAATGGTTTTCTACCCCTACTGAATCTATGACACGAGCCCCAACTTCACATAAAATTCAATTTTTTATTATAACCTACTTATATACAATAATCGATCAAATGCAATATATGTGAACAATTCAAGTAGAAAACTTGAAAATAAATACAGTGTATCTAAATACAAATTAGAGACAAGTCATAATAGATCATTCCATATGAAATAAATCAACAATGTTTTGCAGTACTTTTTAACATGAGATTTTTCTTGTTAAAAATCTGAATAATTTAGCATATGCCACATTATGGATCAAAAATAGGGAATTTCATATGCAGTTTTTCTGGAGACTTAGTATTAGCAAAGAAATTCATGGATTTGGAGGAAAAAATAACCCCAGAATGATATATATTACTAAATATACATATTACCCCTCACCGCTAACACGACTCCGAGTTTCATGCACAACACAATCGTTAGGTGCTGAGTATGAAGTAAACGTTACGTAATTTGAATTTTAAAGAATATATCTGGTCATCACAATGTTAGCGTTGTTATATATTATACTAAGATTAAAGTTTTTTGATTTTAAAAATTATATTTGGCATTTAAAATAATCGGGATGTGTATATGTATTTAAAATATTTTTGAATTGCTAATATTAATTTTTTAATTAAAGAGAGGTTACTTGTTATTATTTAGAACAAAAAGCGAATCGTAATTTACATTAAACAGTAAACCGTAATTTATATTAAAAATTAATCTGGATCAAAGTATTTAAGTAGTAGGTATTTATTTTTATGTCTACATGTAACAATCACTTCATTTCTCATGTTTAATAAGCTATATTATTTAAGTGTTTAAAATAACTAATGCCGTGTCTCGCACTCTGATAGATTTATCAGGATAAATGTGAGCATTTTATTTTGCAGCGTATAAATCTATACGCTGCAAAATCTATTTATAATGTAAACAGAAGTAAAAAAAAAAAGTCATTTTTTCGGTAAAAAATTAAAATAAAACGGTTAAATTGAGAACCTTCTATTATTTAAAATATATAATACATCAATTAATCTCAAACTAAAATAAAGAAAAGTTTGTAGAGAAAAGTTTTCCTTTTGTTTTTAGTCATATTGTCTTTTTGGCAGTTATATTTTATTTATATCTCAATTTTTATACACATAAAACTTACAAAATGAAATTTTTCAAGGAAGACAACTTACATATTTTTTATTATTTCCCTTGTAATTAATTTCTAGAGTTATTTCCCTTGTAATATATCAACTTCATCCGCTATCTTCGATAAAAGTGATTCATATTTAACGTCTCGGATTAATGGCTATTACCTTATATTCATAATTTTTTTATTTTATACTTATGATATATATATATATATATATATATATATATATATATATATATATATATATATATATATATATGGTTAAATTCTCATCAAATCTGTGGACAGGACAAATTGGTATGATAATTGAAAAAAAAAAATCTTAGTTTTTTTGCCCACGCGTTTCGTCTTCGAGTTTTCAATGCAAAAGATGAAATCAAAATGTTTTTGTTTAATGTAACTATAACAACATAAACATTTCGATTTCGTTTTTGCTTTGAAAAAGTCGGAAGATGAAACATGTCGGTAAAAAACTAAGATTTTTTTCCAACGGTCATTTTATACCACACACACACACACACACACACACACACACACACACACACATATATATATATATATAAATAAAGAAAGAACAGTAAGATATATAATCCTGTGTTCTCATAGATATTTTTATTTTTACGAAATAGTGCTCAATGTAAATTATTATAAATTAATTGATTTAAAATATGTTTTTTTTCGCTACACAGTTTTAACCATGTTTCAAAAATGGAATCTGAAAGCTCCGAATTTAATTTTGTAATTAAATTAATGAAATGGAACTAATGTCTTTAAATTAATTACAAAATTAAATTCGGAGCTTTCAGCTTCCATTTTTGAAACATGGTTAGAACTGTGTAGTGAAAAATTTTTAAATCAATTAAATATATATATATATATATATATATATATATATATATATATATATATAGTAGTATTCGTTTGGAAAACCTCGGATAGCTCAACTTGAAAGATATGTCAGGACAAATCGGTACCCGAGGAAAAAATCAAAAAGAAAGAACTAAAAACATACAGAACCAGACGGAACAAATCGCCAAGTGCTTTAAGTCCTTAGTCCAAAGAAGAAGAAAAAACACAAACGGGTAGGAAGACTAAAACGTAGAGTGCTCAATACGCTAAGTAGAGCGATAAACTAGAATAAATCCTAAGGAGCCAGGCAAACCTACCTAGGTTTTACCTAAACGGATCTTCAGGGTAAACTGGCTTAAAACAAGGAAAAGACGGAACAGTGTTTATTTATAAAACCATTGAAAACATTAAAAACTAATAAGCATTAAAACCACATGACAGAAGAAGATACCCCCTCCCCAAGAAACCAAATCCTCAATTCTAATAACCAGGCTTTTCTATGCCTACACTAATTAAGAATCTTCTGAAAAAGCTTTTTTCTGGGCTTGAAAGGAGTCCAATAGTCAACTCATACCTCTGGTAGAGGTGTTAGCCATCGCTCGGGTACTTCAAGGTACCTCTGTTCATAGTCGATCTTGATTCTTTTTATCCCCTTCTGATCTTGAAAGGAGTCTAATAGTCAACTCATACGTCTGGTAGAGGTGTTAGCCATCGCTCGGGTACTTCAAGGTACCTCTGTTCATAGTCGATCTTGATTCTTTTTATGCCCTTCTGATCTTGAAAGGAGTCCAATAGTCAACTCATACGTCTGGAAGAGGTGTTAGCCACCGCTCGTGTACTTCAAGGTACTTCTCAATACGCTAAGTAGAGCGATAAACTAGAATAAATCCTAAGGAGCCAGGCAGTTACTATAGATTGCGACATCTATCAGAGAAAATTTTTTTCATTTCCATTATTGGGATAAATTGTAATTTTAAAGAAATGGTAACGAAAAGGACAGAATGAGTTCTAAAATTTTAATACATCAGCAGATCAGGGGAGAAATGATAACAAAAAAATCTTTGAAAATCATAAGTTTGACTGAAGTGATTTCAAAGTTATTCCCCTTGTCACCCCTGTAATTGTCTGTCTGCTGTCTGTCTGCTTTACACTGTCTCTCTCTCTCTCTCTCTCTCTCTCTCACACACACACACACACACACATACACACACACACACACACACTCTCTCTCTCTCTCTCTCTCTCTCTGTATCATAAGCACACACACGCACGCACGCACACACACACACACACACAGAGATGCTCTCTCTCTCTCTCTCTCTTTATCTATCTCTTCCTGGGTTTTTGGTCGGGATGAAAGCGTAGTAGCTGTTTCTCCGTCATCTCAGATGGGAGAAGGCGCTCAGTCCCGGGGATTTCAACTCTGCAGCAGCACCTCCCTCATTGTACTAAGAACGGTGGGGTCGGTGTAATATCGACACCAGCGTGAAAGTGGTTGCGGGGACTGGGTAGTTTTTGTTCTAGGCCCATATGTGTCAGACTATTGTCTACTGAGTGTCTGGGATAATTTTATGTGGGGAGTACCATACTCCCCACATTAAAAAACGACCTTGTGTCATATACTGCCTTAGTGGGGAGCCGGGTAAATATACCTTACCTGATCTTTTGAACAGGAGTAAAGGTCGTCCCTTGCTTCCTGTTTAGGACTGAGTTTCCAGTTTCTTATACTGAAGTCTTCTCATTCTCTTTCACTCTCAGTACCCCACCTTTGCGTCTTAGTGGCATTATCGCCTTGCCTGAGGTGAAATGATTGAAAGCATTGATCTCACGGGACTCAGAGGATTATCTATAAATAACCCCTGGACTTGGTAATTGAAAAAAAAACTCTTGATTCTGTTAGTGTTAGCTTATATTAGTTTAATCCAATGAATATTGTGCTGCGCCAAGCCTTTAAATATTTTTGTCCGTATTCAGTATTTGAAACTTCTAACAGTGTCGCCAAAAATTACTCAATTATCCCAGGCACCCAGTAGACAATAGTCTGACACAAGGCTACAGATGTAGGGTACCTGGTATGGAAATTAATTTATTATTGTAGAAATGCTCTGCTGGATCAGTTTACATCACGGTGAATTTCCTCATATCGGTAGTAACAAAGCTTAATTAATTCTGACACAAAGCCACGTTGCTAGAGAACTTAAGGATTAAGCCCATTACAGTCGTAATGATTGGAAGGACATGCCTTTTAGCCATTGCCTCACGACAAAGTGAGGTGATTGAATAATGCTTCATGACAAAGTGAGGTAATTTTGAATAATGTGATATTAATTTTTCAGAAAAGAAAGGACGGAATTTCAACGATGACAGTTTAGAATTTATGGCGGCGAAGACATTCTTAATTCTGTCGTTTCTTTTCAAATATCAACCTCGTGTACGCCTAAAAAACAAAAGCAAAAAAAAAAGTAGCGTTCTTTGCTGAGATGTCAGACATCAGAAGATTCTGTCGCAGAGATAGCTCGCTTGTTGTCATAGGAAGAAAATGAGTAACTACCAACACCGAGGTTCGAACGTGACACTCTGGACTTATGAATATATGTTTACGGCCAGGTGTATAAATAAATAGCGGTGTCAGGCTACTGACTGCAGTGATTATTGAGCGGAACTATCCAGTCGAATTAGTGTGAATTATTGTGCGTCGATATTTTGGGTTTTTGATTTAGGATTTACCGGACGTTAAGACAAGCCGAGCTACTAACAAGGTATTCATTGAAATGGTTAATTACCTTTGGTTGACTTTTACTTGTTTGTTCTTGTTAAGTATTTATTTGCGGTTGTAATTAAATACTGTTTTATTTTAACATTGAAATCTTGAGTTATACTTAATCATTAACGGCCACCGTACGTCACAAAAGATAGATAGATAGATAGATAGATAGATAGATAGATAGATAGATAGATAGATAGTGCAATATACAAAGAAAACGAGTAACTACCGACACCGAGGTTCGAGCGTGACACTCTGGACTTATGAATATATGTTTATGGCCAGGTGTATAAATGGCGGTGTCAGGCTACTGACTGCAGTGATTATTGAGTGGAACTATCCAGTCGAATTAGTGTGAATTATTGTGCGTCGATGTTTTGGGTTTTTGATTTAGGATTTACCGGACGTTAAGCCGAGCCGCGCTACTAACAAGTTATTCATTGAAATGGTTAATTATCTTTGGTTGGCTTTTACTTCTTTGTTCTTGTTAAGTATTTATTTGCGGCTGTAATTAAATACTGTTTTATTTTAACATTGAAATCTTGAGTTATACTTAATGGACACCGTGCGTCACAAAACTTTTCACACTGACTGACATTAAATAAGGTACCTCTGACACGCTAACCCCAAATCCACTCAATTCAGTTAATCTCAACGGGTTGGTATTATCAGATCAAGGCAAATGTTCTTGCTCAATTTTCATTGTTGATATAAAATGGATGCAACTTTGACGTTTGTATTGCTGCCGATTTCTGGTGTGTTCCCGATTGAAACCTTTCATCGTTCAGTTGCGTGTCAGACATATGTTGACATTTTCAGCACAAATGAAGGCCTTAAACACTGAAGGATGAAAAATTGGACTTTCGCCATATTGTGCTTTATTAATTTCGAAAAGGAGTAAACATCGGAATTGCGCCAAAAAAAAAAAAAAAAAAAAAAAAAACATTCAAAAGATTTATTTGGACCGTGCTGCCCAGAATTTTAACCTAAATGATCAACCACGTTCCAGGTGTCGCTCCGACGTCGATGAAGACGCCTTGCTGGCCACTGAGGATTGCAAACCCGAAGATTTCGACGTTTGATATCCCGACTGCCTTTCCCTATTTGAAGAAAAACGGCCGAAAACGGTGTTGTTTTCCACCGCGGCAACGCAAGACCTCATTTTGCTAAACAAACCTTGCAGAATCTTAAAGATTTTAAATAGGAAACCTTTCATCACCAACCATATTCTTCTGACTTGGCTCTTTCGGATTTTCCTTTGTTCTGGTCTCTACGAAGAATTTGACTCGAGTCAGTCGAAAACTATCTCACAACCTTTTTCCAACAAAAAGTACGAAGTCTCTACGAAAATGGCATCAACAGACTTGTAGAACAATGAGGGACAGTTGTTCAAGAACAGGAGTTTGAACATAGATCACCAATGAGTAAACACAGGCGATCCCATTATTGAATTAAGCAGACCATGTGACAATAGAGGAAACGCATATATGGGAGGTAGCATGTGTCTAATTGATCGCTATTTCTATTCTATCCTCTATTACTATACGGACCGCTATTCTCTACTCTTGTCACTATACCATTTCTGTAGACGGGTTACTATTCGAGCGAGTATTATCGAGCAAGTACTATTAGTGTGAGTGTTATTCAAAGGCGTCTGACATCAGTATTGTTCAACGGCGTTACTATTGTATCTGCGATTACAAAGTCCCTACTACAACGAGCATTACGAAAGTGACAACGAGTATTCGTTGACATTACAAAAGCAAGTTATAAATAAACCGGAAATGGTCACGTGTGCAATTTTATGACTCCAATTCCGGAAAGGACCGAATCTTTTTCGGTTTCTCTTTTTAGTTTCAAGCTGTGGATCATGCAGTAATAGCGTTCCTACTGGGGAATGTTACTTTCCCCGGTCCACTGGCGACATGATTTCAGCCGCCCTACTAATGAAGTACAGATTCGGTCATCTCAACTCAGCGCGAGGCTTACTTGAGATCGACCGTCTTTACCCATGAATAATTTCTGAACTAAAAAGGAACACGGACATACTCAAGCAAGAAGCAATTAACTTTATTTCAATACAGTCAACATAAAAGAAATAAACGTCTGTAGAAAAAACTCAAGTTTTTGGATGCTTCTTTCTCTAAGTATTGAACACGCGCCTTTACCTAAAAATACGCACAAAACCCACTTGCTTGTTAACCTCCACATCTTTTATTCTCAATGACAGGGATTTTCCAATGCTTACCGAAATATCCTCGTTGTTATTTTGTGATGTCTTCGTTTCCAAATCACAAACCAGTATCATTATATATATATATATATATATATATATATATATATATATATATATATATATATAATGATACTGGCTTGTGATTATATATATATATATATATATATATATATATATATATATATAGAGAGAGAGAGAGAGAGAGAGAGAGAAAGATATAATATCATATGAATGTCAATTATTAATAGTATTATGAATTTTGAACGTTAAACTGATTTCACATTTTCCAAACATTTTTCGATGTTTGCGTTAGTATGAGTGACATCACGACGACGAACCCACCTCCACTTCCATAATAACACAAATACACGCAATCTACATAAATTCAAAATTAAAAAAAAAATAATCAGTTTGTCTGACGGTCGCAAAAGCGTGAGACCCAGGGTCACAAACTCACATCAATCCAACCAAATATGTTAGCTCTATCGCTGACATTGAGCGCTTTTCTAATAAGAACTCAGGCAAATAAAAAAAATACGTAGAAAAAAATAGTTAAATTTCCGGCTGTCAATAGAGCTATTAACATCTAATACAAATGCCTATGAATTAAAAATGTATTTCTGGGATATTTTAAGCTAAAAGCAATATTTGTTTCAAATCATAATAATTTAGATTCAGCCAATCGTCCTCAGATAAAGTTTCAAAAAAGTGTATTTTATTTTTAAAGTATCTTTTAATAAAGTGAATCAATTTCTGTTGATAGATGACTAGAAATAGCTAAACACCGGCCATTCAACTTAAATTCATTTTGAAATACAGCAAAAAAATTTTCTTATTTGAAATATTAAATTGAATCTGTTGGTTTATAATTAAAACTAAAATAAAAGCTTCAAGTAAGATTTTTTTTCCTTTATAAAAATTAATGTTAAACTTTAGGTAGCTCATTTCTTTGGAAGTACCTATATTTGAAGTAAATCTATTCTTAAGTTTTAAACCTAGAGTGATTTTTTTTACATTTACATTTGGTTTACAGGTCTGAAGAATTGAGGCCATTTTTATCGATCTCAATGAAATAAATATCACCTAATGGTATTCGAGGTGTTTGTTTTTCATTATATAATCATGTCTCTGACATAAAGTTCTCACTGGATCTATATCCTCTTAGAAATTCCATACAGATTACCAATATTTTATTATATATATACTAGCAGTAGAGCCCGGCGTTGCCCGGGGATGTAACAGTAAGAGATAGATCAAGTATCGACCATCATAAAGACTGAAAAATAAAATTGACAAAGATCATTGTTTAAGGTTGACGGACAAGCATGTCTTAATTAGTTTTTTTTGTTGTTTTTTTGTTTTGTTTTTTACGAATTGGTCAAACCCAAACTCAAACAAAAACATTGTTTTCAATCGTTATGAGTCTACCAATTAAATAAAATTTTATTATAAACAAGTGTCTTGTAAATGGAATTTTTAAAGCATTCTGAATGTAAAAATAAAGAAAAAAGTGTGCAAGACAATAAGAAACACTACCTGCCAAAAAAAGTGAAGTTTTATTGAAATCGGTTGAAAAATGTAGGAAATCCGATCCCATATATAAACGAATACACACGCACACAAACAACCTGGGTTTTATAAGTATAACTCGATATGAGTTGTCCCCCTTTCATTCTGGCGACAGAATCGTGTTTTATCGTGTTTTCAAATTGATTTTGCGCAAAAACAATTGTGTTTTTCCAATTTTTGGCGCTGTCAGAACCACCGCAAGGTAATTTTACGCAGTCCTGTGAAATTTTGTTGAAATCGGTTGAAAAATGTAGGAAATCCGATCCAATATATAAACGTACAGACACACACACACAATCTGCGTTTTATAATAAGTAAGATATATATCCGAATGTAAAAGAACGAGGAATAAAATTGCAAATTTCATTGGGCTAACTCATATCAACATCTTCACATATGTTATTTTCTTAACTTTCCTTTTCCTTTGTATCTGTATAATTTTGAATATATTCATCTCTTTCTTTACTTTTCTTTTCTTTCTATTCTCTATCCTTTGAAAGTGTGTTTAGCAGCCCTACTCATGAAGTAAAGATTCGGCCATCCCGGCTCAACGCGAGGTTGACTTGAGCTCTACCGTCTTTACCCATTCTTATCCTTACTTCCCATAAACAATTTCTGAACCAAAAAGGAACACGGACATAGTCAAGCAAGCGGCATTTAACATCGTTTCAATATAGTCAACATAAAAGAAGTAGCAATAACTCAATTTTTTTGTATGATACTTCTAGTTTCTTTGTTTATATATTGAACACGCACCTTCACCTAACAAATATCCACACATTGCTTGCTAACATCCACACTCTGCTCTTGTCAACAGTCGGGATGTTTGCAGTGACATGTCACGCATGCTCCTGCATGTACTTGAGCAATCCCATGGCCATATTATGACTTACTGTTAGTCACTTTTTGGGAAGCTTGTATTACCATAGACAGTGATAATTATGTTGGTACTTCCTTCTGAAAATATAATCTTTTCATGAGAGTTACAATGAAAATAAATACAAGGATCACATGCAATGTAGGTGAACAATACATCTAGAGAATTAGAAAATAAATACAATGTATTTAAATAAAAATTAAAGACATGTCATAATATATACTTCCATCTTAAATAAATCAACAATGTTTTGCATTAATTTTTAACATGAACTTGATATATATATATATCTATTATAGAAACAATTGTACTAACTAGAAAAAAAAAAAAAACAGGAAAAGAAAAGACTATTATCACTGTCTTGTCCGTATATTGCTTAATATGTTGTAATTGACATCTTTGATAATGTCTTATGTAAGCCGAACGCTTAGATTGTATTAAAAAAATATGGATCAATATTGTGAATTTCTTTCTTCGTTCAATGATAATGTTATTAAACTTAGACGTTATGAAAAGAATTTACAAAAAATAGACAACACTTGT